CCTGAAATTGTTAAATTTTAAGAAACGTTGCATGAGCATAGCTTAAGAGGTGCTGAATGACGTCAACGACGGTCCAGATTTTCTCGAAAGAGTCATAGGTGATGATGAAAGATAAGTATAGGGTTGAGACGTGCAAACAGAAGACTCAAGACCGAAAAAGTACACCAAGTTCGTTCAAATGTGAAGGTTTTGATCACTATTTTCTCCGATTACAATGACGGAGTGCATAGTGAGTATTTGCTAGAAGTTCGTAAGGTCAATAAGCGATATTCTTATATTAAAGTCATTAGCCATTTGCGTGAAGCAATGCGGATAAGCTGATGTGTCATTGCGTGTTTATTTGTTTTTTCGTGCTTTTTATCCAAAAACAATGCCGTAATCATGCCTTAGCCACTGTATTTACCGGTTAATTTTTCCTGTTTCCTGACCTAAAAAGATCCATGAAAGGATGGAGTTTTGTCACGATTAAGGAGGTAAAGGACCGTCGCTGAAAGATCTCAAGACCATAGGAAGAAAGCGTATATCAAAATTGCTGCGAGAAATGGGAAAAACCCCGGAGCGCAAGTGTGTTATTATTATAACTAACGGGGATGAAGGACACAAAATATATATTGACAAAATAAATAAATATTTTTCGAGAAAAATAAAAAGATCGACCTTTTTTGAACGCACATGCACATGTACATATATTTTTGGCGGGCATAGAAATGATTCTGAATATGAACTTAAAAGTTAAACTATGCGAATCTCATATCGTGAAGAAATGTTGGAACTGAATATATTATATAAAATAATTTTACCGTTTATTGTCGCATATTATGTGTTATATGAGTGAAATGAACAAAAAGAAAATATTTACAATAATTTTTTAGGTTAAAAGTTAATTTTTCAAATATTTACTACACTGGGAAAAAGTTTATGTAAAACTTATTTGACAGTAAATAAGTTGAAAGGGCTAGAGAGGGCTGAAATTTCTGAAGAGGCATTAAAAACAAAATATATATAAAAAGTTTTTGAATATAAAGATTTGACGACATACAATTTCTATTTTGGTATACCAATGACGCTCGCTATTGCCATCATTTCTCACTTAGTTGCATTTTCCAACGTATGTAATGACACACAGGAACATATGCATATACAAATAACATTTAGAGAAGAGAATAGCACAAAATATATAAAATTATTACATTTTCTAAATTTTTGTATAAACATGTGCACATAATGTTAAAATTGTTCAACTACAACGCATGTATAACAAATTTTTTTCTCACACACACACACACGCACACACACACACACACACACAGAGAGAGATTGTTGTTCATGGATGTAAGTATATATATACATATATATATATATATATGTATATAAAATCTATTGCATGTATAATGTAAGCATATACTGAATTCATTTAAGCGTCATGCGTTGAACAAGCTGCACTTAACATGAGTAGCCGTTTAAAGATATTTATGCGATTATGAACACATGAGTTTATGCGTATGTATTGTATTAATATTGCTTAAAAAAATATATGGTGCGTAAAGTTATGAAAATTGTAAGTAAAACAACAACAAAACAAATAAGTGCTTACATGTAACGATTGATTTCATTCATTGCAAATTTATAAACAAAGTATGTAATCATTGCACTTAAACTGAATATCTCGAGACAGTTTGATTAGAGCGAAAAAAATGCGCAAAAAACAAAAAAATTTATGCAGCAAAGCTTAAAAATAAAAACAAATAAGAAAATTATATTCGATTATGACCGAATCTTTTATACCCATCATCGCGATCCTAAGACGAGGAAAGGAATTAACTTTGACGGCGGGCGCGGCCGATTTTCCCCGTTTTCAGAATAAAAATGGAAATTTATAGGGTGTATGTGTTGCACTTTATGACTAACTTTTATTAACTGTCCACATATTATTTCGTTCAATTTACAGTTCGCAATTTTTGAGACATTTTGATTGCATTTGCTACACTGATGATTGGATTGGTCCAGATTCTCGACTCCTTACTCATATAAAGCATTATTTTGAAAAATTCTCGATAAATGTGTCTGTCTAATAGTATTTCGACATTCTAAATTGATGCAAAAGTTTTGGATCGAAGAGCGTAATATTATGAACGTCCCTCCTTATATCCATCCCTACGAAACGTGTACTTTCAAATGTCAAAAATGTGTAGTCTTTAAAATTTTATGATGAAAATTTATTCATTATTGCAGTTTTACATAAATATAAACTCGAGCAAATTTGAACCATTTGGCTCTGTTTCCGGGACCCCATTTCATGGAGGTCTTGCCCTTTGCAAAAGTCCAAAACATTTTTTAATGAAATTTGGTCGATTGGAGGGATTTGGCGTAAAAGAAAGAAATCTGAATCAAATAGGTCCACTTTTTAGACCACATTCCATATAAGGGCTCTCGTAAATAGTAAGTTTTTGTTTGACATCAAAGCCTTAATTGTAGTAGTTTATGAAGAAAGCACGTGAAAAATCCTGTAGTCTTCAAAAAGTAAATTAAATTTGCTATCTTTGGATCACAGAATCACAGTTGACTGAGGGCTTTCAGGAACACTCCCGTCTTTACACGAAAATAATGTACACGTTTTGGTGTATTATCATAGAAATGAATGAACGACTATATGAGGCAAAGATATCTAATTGTAGGTGTCGTCGGACTATAATGTTTTCACACGTTTTTCATCAGAAATCGATTGAATTTCAAACATTTTTAATAACGAGTAGTCGATAAACAATTTTCTTAAGAAACGTTTGATTCAAGCGTTTGGTTTGTTTCGTTGTTTTGTTGATTTGAAAAGCGCTATTACTTGTTCCTTCCAAGAGTCTTAAACGTTAAAAGGATTAGCTAACCCCTCAGGTTGTCAGATGATATCAGAAAATAAATGCATAAAGCTTAGAGCATTTTACACCAAAACTACCTTAATTTTTTATTCATTATAACAAAATTTATAATCTTATTAACCAGGGAGAATAGCAAGTGTATTTGCTCCTGAAAAATTAAGAATATCTTGTGCATTATAAGTAAATGCTTATCTTTAGGTGAATTTTAAACTCTTTAACAAGTTTAAGTTGTGTATAAGAATTAAATAAATGTAAGTAGCGGCTGGAGATTAAAATCCTTTGCTTGTGTCTCCATCTTTCCATTTGAACGTATAATAGATTGATAAAATTTATTAATGGTGTTATGGTGTACGCGTCTCGTATTGCAGGCAAGGTAATCAAGACAACAAAGACGTCGCCCTAAGAAAAAAAATAAAAAAAAAAAAAGTATATATAAATTGATTTCAAGAAATAATAACTTTAACACTTTAAATCATTTTAACTTTATGGTTGTTTAGTGAAGATTTTTATTTTTCATTTTTTTTGCCTTTAATCAATAATTTTTATGTAATATTAAGAAATTTTATAAAAATCTTTAATTTTTTATACGTAACACTGCCATACGTTTATTTTTTGAAACGTTTGCAACGCTCAGAAGGAAGCTTAAGAGATCTCACAAACATATAGATATATACATATATATGTACATTTTGCATTAGCATTAAATTCTGAATTGATTTAAATATGTGTGTTAGTTTGTTCATCTGTCCATCTGTCCGTATGCCCATTCGTCTAATGTCTGGGATAAACACTGTCCTGAAAATATCGCTTTCAGCTTTAAGCCAAAACAGTGCAATAAAAGCTGAGAACAGTCCTCTTTTTGGCATTTTTTGCTAACTACTCATAAACTAATGAAAAGAGCTATAATGAGAATTTACATGTATATTGTAGAAAAAATTAAAAAAAATTAAGTAACGTTAACTTACTGTGATGGAGAAGGAAAATTTGGTTTTCTTTTAATCTCTTTTTTTTTCTTTTTTTTTTTTTTGAAAGTTTCGGTCTCAGCTGAATATAACGTTTTTTTCTTGTTAATACTTGATTTAGATTTAATAAAATTATATATTATTTTGGTATTATATAGCATTGTATGTAGATTATATATACTATCATACTATATCATACATGAAGAAATTTCGTATATATGTATTTATACATCTATATATATATATTTTTTTTTTTTTTGAAAAGTGCTCTATATGTGTAGCACGGTGATGGTCAGAAAGAAGTGGGGAAAGAAGAAGAGTTAAGGAGCGGTCGCAGTCTACCCGATGTTTGCCTAATTGGTAATTGTGTTGTCTTCACAGACTGATTACTCATTAGAGTTGCGGCCAATTATAGTTAAACAGATCTGATATTTGAATCGATAATCAATGGCTTGGATATTGCTATTCCACAATACGCAGTCTGTGCTGGGCTAAATGATGCGACCTGCCCGAGCACACATATCAGCTTGAACGACTTCTGTATGTTCAAAAAGTCAAATGGATTTTCGCACGATCACGAGATTTGAAATAGAAAATATCGGGTTTTTAGTCGGTAGCTGCTGATCGCGTTGGAGACGCGTTATAGTCCGCCTGAAACGTTTCTACAATAATTACAAAATACTATCGTCAGTAGTTTCAAAGTCAGTCGAGGTATCGTTCAGTCAAATACAGACCTCTCTCTATCTCTTTCTCTCTCTCCCCCCTATAATCTTCCCCGACTATCATCGCGCCTGTATGTAGCAAGTAGCGAGCATCCGCAAAGTAGCGAGGCAAAGAAAAAAATCAAAGAAGTAATTTAAAAGTTTTTAATATGATATGATCCTGATCGACGAACTGTTACGTCCGGAATTACCGGTTGTTGGGTATGTCGGATATGTAAAATTTTTATAAAGCTGATAAATAAGATGCTTACCACTTAAGTCGTGAGATGATAAATAATAGGAAAGAAGACCGACATCATGTTTAAGAAACACTCACCTGGTAGAGTTAGCAATGGCTGCAGATTTTTGTAACGTGTTATTCTTGGCCAATCAGTCATTTTTCTTTTCTCATACTACATTGTATTCTTAATGTATCTTATTTTCGTTCATTTCTTATTTCGTTTCAGAAATGTTAATCGCATTATGTTAAGCAAAAATTAATGGCAAAAGAATCCATAAATAAGAGAGAAAGAAACTCAACCAGTCAGCCAGTATTCGAACAAAGTGATCATTTCATGTACAATTAAACAATAAATATTTCATTCCAGTAAACTGTACTTTAAAAACGAATATATATGGAGTAATTTTCTAACCAATAAAAACAACAACAACAACAACAACAGTTGCGAAATTAAGATATGATTTACAATTCATATGTTTTTGCATATATACCGTATATGTAGTTGCTATTAAAATTAATATTTTTTGTATTTGTAAAGCCGTTATGCGAAAGGAGCCATTGAAAATCAATCGCGAGAGATTTTCAGCACCGTATCTGAATGAATAGAAGAGAGTAAGATTTTAATTGTGCAACGAATCCCATTGTTATTAATTGCACTGCCGGTGTTAACATCCCAAATATGAAAGCCAATTCTCTCTTCACATCCATGTATGTTGCAGCTGTTGGAGGAAAAGCTATTTAAGATTTTAATCTTTCAAAAAGCAAGAAAAACGAAAAAAAGAAAAAACAAATAAAAGTGCGGTCGTAAGTTGTAGGTGAAAGAGAAGACGGCAATTTTACGCTGGAGGAGTCGCACAAATAATGAAGCTCAGCAGCAGCACGTCGTGTGGTTGCCGTTTTTGCTGCTGCTGCTATTGTTGGATAATAATGCTGTTAATATTTTCAAGCATTGTTTATGGTAAGTATTGTTGCTTTAACCGCACTCTTAACATATATATATATACTCTTATCATATCTATATATATAGATATGTGATAATTTTTTTTTGAAGTTTTTGAAATTTTTCATTTTCTAATTTGCGGTTAGATATGTTATATTGGTATATATAAACATTGACAATGATTGATGTAAAAAACTTGTGTTTTAAACATTTTCACTAAAGGTAATTTCCCTAACTACTACACTAAGGTGTATTATCGTTTTAGATAAGACTTTTTAGGCTTTCATTAAGAGAATCTTTGATATGTAAGTAATAGTTTTAAATAGAGAAAAAAATATATATATATTTAAAATATATATTCATATATATATATTTATATATAGCACAAATTAAAAATGAATGACGGCTATTGTGTTATGACAAAATTTTCTGAAAAATAAGTAAATAAGGAAATTTAGACATGAGCTTTAGATTTCGTTTTTGATACTCCACGTCTATCCAAAATAATGAATGAATAAGCTTTTGACATAAAGATATTAAAAAAAAAAAAAAAAAAAAGAGACCGATATTGCTGGTCTTTTTCGTCACCGTACACCGTCCAATATGTTCGTTTGAAGTCGGTATAGGTGTGCAGTAACAATTGCATTCAAAAGGTTACGGGCATAAATATTCCGCTTCGATGTCGATGTGGATGGCTCTGGCGGATTAACCCACGACCTTTTGTGTTTCGCATAGTGACAATAGGCCACAAAAATTTCTTCTTCTTTTGTCTGGCAAGCAACGAATGTCGGAAACGTATAAATGTAGGGCATTCCATGATTAGCGTCCCTATGCACTGAATAACTCGATAATACTAAATGAAAAACTGTTTTTATGCAGAGGAAGGAAAAAATCATCATCGAACTTAACCGTTATGTACATTATACATCGCATTACTATATCATTTCACTAATACATGTCGCTGGTCAAAATTTATGCAACCAGCTACGAAAATGGGATTCTATGCTAAGTCCACGTATTTTATTTAATAATTTTATTTAATATACCCTCTATAATAAGTAGCGTGACGAATGCAGATAAGTGAAAAGACGATAGCGTGACACCGTCCGCCATTACATACCCTATACAATTTAACACAGTTATTCATATAACAACTTGTCAAATTACGATGTTATATGGTAAAAGTGGTTCAATCCGAACCATTGTGAAGACCGTTCGCCATTGCGCCAAAACAAGTCGTCGTACCACACTTCGTCAAAAGTACTGCAAAACTCTCGACAAGACAACAAAACGGACAGACGTGTAGATGGAATGATTAGCTTAGACCTTTTCTGAATATTGTACGACAAGTAATGTAGGGTATAATGATCAAAATCATCTTAGATGTCCGCCTTCTAATATATTTTCATTTTTTTATGCTTTTTTTGACGTTGTATTGCGTGCGTGAGAAACCGATTCTTTAATTCGCATTGATTTTCGAATTTTTCTTTCCAACATAAACTACTACTCAATAATGGTATGTACGGATTGGATTTGGAGACTAGTTTTTAATAAATTATAGATTCTATTAGCATTTTCTCTCAATGAATCGGTTAATTTCAGGAAAATGCAGTTTCTTCTTTTTGATAGGATTCGTATCACTTGCGACAACTTGGTGATTCTGTTTATTGTTGTACGCAAAGAAAATGATTTTTTTTTCTCTCTTTTATCTATTCTCTATTATTAAATTTTGTCAAACATATATGTAAACATTAATCCAGCGTAGAACGTAAGGCACAAATCGCGGAAGGAAATTGTATTTGTGTGCGCTTTCGAGCTAGCGTTAGATAATTACCAAACTAATACTTAAGGTAAATATTATTTGTTAAGAGTTCAGTGAATAGAATGACTAAGTAATCAGTCCTTTTTTGCTTGGCTATGGCACGCTTGTAAGTTACATTTATTGTAAGAAAACCTACACAATAATAGAGCAAAAAAATCGCAAACCCTCCTAATATTCACTTCGCGCCCTGTGATGAGCACATGTTCGGTTTCTCCTTCTAATGCCATGCACGAACCGCACGCCATCATCCGAAACATGCTCAGACATGTAGCATTGTGCGAAACGCTTACGCTTCGGTAGATTATATTTTTGCGTCCATCGTCACCATGAAGACACATACTGCCCTCGTCAGAGGATAGAATTGATCCGTAGTCCAATTCACATGTTCTCGAGCGAAATGAAGCCGTACTTGTCAGTGTGCTGGGGTCAAATTTGTTCAAGTTGCTGGTCTGTGCTCTGTCAAGTCTCCTTTGCCTAGTATTCGATAAAGCATTCTTCAGACTTTGACTTTTATACCTGATCAAAATTGCGAAAATAGCGCCACCTGAAACGAGTGATTTTAGATATTTCTCTTGTTTCATACCTACTGTAATAATTTTAAAGGACAAGGGGAGCCGTTATGTGTTTATATATTTAGATTCGGAGCGAGAATTTAGCGGATGTGCAATCTCTTTGCTCTCGAGTGTGGTTTAGAGTCTTACATAAATTTTCTTAATTATATCTTATATATATATATATATATATATATATATATATATAGAAAATGAAAAATAGTCGCTTCATCTGAAAAGAAATATTGCTAAAGAAAATCTATCAAGATAAAAAGCTTCGATTAAAGTCATATATCAGATTTCGAGTTATGTATGTAAAATGCATTGTGCAACAGACTTTACAAACAAAAAATGTTTTACAAGAACTACGCCAAACAATGCATGGCCGATGACTTTCGAATTTTGTGTAACCTTTTGCTTGAAAAAGTCGTTTGAGAAAATTAACTTCATTTTAAATAATTTATTTTGACATATTTGCAAAATCTGTAATACGACTTCAGTGGGCACAATTACCTACATTGCATGCACAAGCATGTAACATGATTGATGGAAATTTCTTTTTCATCTCCATTTTTTTAATGTGATCAATCAATTCGGGAATGTACTCTACAACTGGAATGCAAGAAGTGGAAAGGCAGTCAGAGAGGGAGTGGCGGCAATCTGCGAAGCATATAGCTACGTTGTGACACTAATTGTAATTAAAGTACGGTCTGCGGTGTTAAGGATTGAGTTTGTGTTAAGATTTGAGTATGCCGACCTGATAATTATGCTTAGATTAATTGAAATGCGACTTTATATAAGAAATTTCATTTACAGCACTTAATTTGTATGTTCTATCCCTTAAAGAGTATAAAGAATTTTTGAAGTAATGTTGCATTGACACTGACTGTAAGAAAATATCATTAGCAAAATAAATCATCAAGTGCAGACCGAATCAAATGTCATTTCAATTTGTCGTTCACATGTTGATAAAAAAAATTGATCATTTGACGAAATGGATGAGATATTAATTTTAATAGTTTGTTTTTGAGAGCTCGTCGAAGAGCATTAATTGTAATTAATTGTTTTCCATGCAGTTGGAGAACTATTCAAATCGTCCTTGTGGCGACTTTTTTAATGCAATATTTTTATACACCAACAAACAACTGTATTAAGTTGATACGGAACTAACCACCACGCAGAATAAGTTGGAATAGACCCATCGTTTAACCACATTCTCAATCGAAATAAGCTTGTCTCTCCGCCTGTCCGTTATGTTTTTGTCGTCAACTTACAAATCTTAATTTTAGAAATATTTTCATAAAATTTTGTATAGTGACGTGTTTTGGCCCATGAACTTCCCATAAAAAAAACCTTATGACGAAAAGTCATGTTATGTGGATAACTGTATTATGCGAAGTGATGTAGGATATTTAATAACAGGTCACGGCCTACTATAATATTTTTATTTTTTATTACCATAATTTCGTTTAATTTAAAAGAATTTTTCACATCTTGACGCCTAACATACAAAAATATCTTCTGACATTAACTTAAGCTGAGTTATCATAGAAATGATTGGAGTGATTATTAACTCGCTACTTAAATACCTTCAACTAGATTAAATTTCTTTGAAAAATTTCCCATGAAGACACATGTTCTTCTTGATCGTAAATTAATAAAGTTACGTTTTTTATTGAACTAAAATGAAAGAATCGTATGCCGTTCTTTCCATAGCATACACATTTACTTAGCAAACGCTTCGTTATCTTTATTTAAAGACTTTACTTTACGGGTACATAGTATGCTTCTGATCAGCTTTAATGTCGTTTTGTTTTTTTTTTTTCTGCAAAAATTGCATAATTGTGCGTGTTAACGTAACCAAGATTTTGTCGATAACGACTTCATCGTGTTTCGTAATAATTGCTTACTTATTATTAAATTGAGAATGGGGAGTGAAAATGGGAAGCTCAACAAAGTTGTTCTTTGGCAAAATTAATCTTTTTTTATCAATGAACGCTCAACAGCATTTTCTCTATAGCAAGTGAATGAATGTAAAAATAATAATACACCTTTGTTAGCCACCCACAGGGTTATTAAGAGAATGTCGCTAATTCTTTCAATTATTTTACTTTATTAGAACTCATTATAAAATGTCCTCTAATGCATGTCTTTGTATTTACAGAAAATTTCATTGGTAAATGAGCGAAAAACTCATTTAAAGCAATTAATCTTCAAGAGTAGTTCGAAAAGCATCGCATAGAGTGATGGGTAGGCGGGCGGAGTGGTGGTTGGTGAAATTAGACAACGGATAAAGTGTAGTGAAGCAAAAATGTTCTTTAATGTTATTTCAGTTCCGTTATTTGGCATTCGGTTCGCCGCAAGTAGTCGAGTTTTCAAACTGCTATCGAATTTTTCTCAACTCACTTTCAAAGTTTAGCTTATAAGATTGTTTGAACAAGATCCCTCGCGAAAATATATTGTATTAATCGCATAGAATTTGCTGTTTTTTTTCCAGAGTTCTAGATTAGCTTGTTCCAATAGATCGAACTTTTAATTATTCGAATATAAATTCATATTCCAAACCTTTCACGTTACTTTGGTACCTAGGATTTTTGGATTTTTTTTCCTTATTTGATAAAGAAAACACATATACAAACAGGCAT